ATTTGAGTAATATAGAAATTTTATTAATATTGCCCAATAAAATTATAACGTTGACGCATTTAAAAAGAAAAGTTCATATAAACTCTTGTACTTGTACGAGCCCTTACTTTTCTGCTGCGGGCACGCAAAATTTATTTTCGATAAATTTTGTTAATTTGTTAATGAAAACACCATATTTTCAGTATTTCAAAAGGGTCTCAGGTTTTAGTAGTAAGAAGATTTACTTTTACATGCCCTTACTTTTCTGCTGCGGGCACGCGAAATTTATATTCAACCAATTTGGAATATACCGTAGATATACATTCATCTATATTACCGGAATATTTGTTTTCAACATACTAGGTATATTCACCTGCACATATACACAATATGTACATACCTGGCATGTTCATCTGCACATATACCCAATATGTACATATATGTACATACCTAGGATACTTTGAGAACATTCATGTTAGGAATGTTCACCTATGTATATTCCCAGGATATTCCCGCAATGTTCTGTATATTTTTGAACATTCTGGGATATTCATAGAATATCAAATGCTATCTGCGTGGAAGGGTAAAAACGGCGGTTTTTAGACAATTTCCTTGCATGCTGAAACCACCGGACATTTCCTGTCCACCCAGCCGGAGCTTCTGGACTTTGGAGTGTGCATGATGAGCAGCTGCTACCAGCTGAGCTTCCAGCTGTGCAATGGTTCGAGTGGCACTCAAGCCATATCGGTGCGGGTTCCGGCGCCTCTTAAAAACGTGGTGCGCGCGGGGAGCGCAATGGTCTACATGCCGCCCAACAGCCAAAGAACCGTCTTGGTCAAGCTGGTTCCGCGGTAGATCAGCAAGGCGACTCAAACTCCGCATCTAGCTACTGTAAACGATTTTAGAGAGCTGCTGTACGAAGAGGGCTGCCAGCAGTTCGACAAGAGCAACTCGATACTGTCGTTCAACATCCATCTGTATGTGGCTTCGCAGCCCTTGCAGGACTATCCACCGGTCAAGGTGCCAGTCTATGCGATTGTGGGCAACTTTCAGGACTTGACGATCGCTTGCATCGCCACGCGACACATGAGCAACTTCCTCAACACCGTTCTGATCGATGTGGGCGATTGCTCCATCTACGAGACCTTATGGACGGAGATCCATTTGACCAACAACACGGCGCTGATGCAAGTGTGCGCCTTCATGGATCTGCCCCAGGTGAGGATCGTTTGCTTGTCTAAATGGTTCCTAAAAGTTGAGTGTGGCAGGCGGTGGTTTTGGAGCCCAGTTTCGGGTTTTGCAAGCTGCTTCCTGGCCAGAGGAGGCAGTTCAAGGTCTACATCAGTCCGGAAGTGCGCGATTTCCCCAGCTACTCGATCGGAAGCTTGCGCAACTGCAACTACTTCTTCAAGCTGATGGTGGACACTGTGGCCAGCATAGGGCAGGTTGCCACAGTGAGTGCATAGAGAAAGTAAAATACATTATTTTAAAGCCAGTTTACACGCTCAAGCCATCTGAACGATTTGGCTTGCGCAAGCCAGATCTGTGCAGATGAACTGAACGATTTGGCTTGCGCAAGCCAAATCGGTGCAGATGAACTAAACGATTTGGCTTGAGCAAGCCAGATCTGTGCAGATGAACTGAACGAAAATCTGGCGTTTACACGTTCAGCTCGTTTTACACCCAAACGTGCATTGTTGCCAAGATGGAACATTTGGACGAAGAGTTCATTCGTGCAACGGCTGCAGTGTGTGCAATTAAAAAAAAGATGAACTTAAAAACTAGGAAGGAAATGGTGTAAACCATGGTTGCTGAATAGGAATTTCTTGTCCATACGTATTTAATAGCGGAATTACGCAATGATTCTGACGATTTTCGTAATTACTTACGT